ATCCTTCTAATAATGATAGTTTTAGCCAATATACTTAATTAGTAAGAATATTTTAGGAATAACAACACTTATTTATTATAAATAACCAATTTAACTTACTTCCTTAATCTCCTCAAATAAGTCAATTGGGTCTTATAATTAGGACCGGAGGAGTATAAATATAAGAGACAAAATGGATTGGGGTCTTATAATTAGGACCAAATAAAAAGTCAAATGGGGTCTTATAATAAGGACCGGAGGAGTACTTAGTTAACTAATTTAAAAAAAATTAAAAAAATTAGTTAAGTTAGTTATTTATAATGAATAGATGTTATTTTTTAAAAATATCTTTACTAATCAAGTTTGTTATCTAAAACTACTATTATTAGAAGGATTACTTTAAGAAAAAAAATATAAATATAATAAATAAATAAATTGAGATGTTATATTTAGAACTAAAATAAAAGTTAAACAAAATTTTATATTAAGAACAGAAAACAGTAGTTACTTAGTTATTAAGTAACCTATTCACCTTAGAGACGTTTGCATTCATGTACATCCAGACTTGATGTTTTTGCCAAATCATCAAAGTCCTGCCGGTAAAAAAAAGAAAAAGTCATCGAAGTCCCTCCTGCCAATATCAATTTCTCTTCTCCTATCATATACTACCTCTTATCCTAAGTACCACCTCAACTCCTGAATATAGAAATTAATAATTTGAGTAGATTAAGAAAACAATTAAATTAGTTATTTATAACAAATAAATATTGTTTTTTTTAAAATATCTTTACTAATCAAGTATATTAGTTACAATTATTATTAGAAAGACTATCGTGAGAACAATAGATAAATATGAAAGACAAAATGGATTGAGATCTTATATTTATGACCAAAATAAAACTTAAACAAGATTTTATATTAAAAACTAGAAAAGTATAAAAATAATTAAATATTTAATTTAGTTCTAAATATAAAATTTTAATATATTTTGTTTTTTATTTTATTTATTAAAGAAGTTTGTAGGATTATGATCATTCGATATGCCTGAGTGAGATCATCAATGATGAATGAACTAGGAGGTTTCCTCTAAATTTCGCGAACTTGCTGGGTGCTCCTAGCGAAGTTGCTAGCGAGATCATCAATGATGAACGTAACTAGGAGGGTTCCTCTAAATTTCGCGACCTTGCTGGTTGCTCCTAGCGAAGTTGTTAGGAAATGCAACAGGGATATTATAGTAATTTCAATTAAAAGATACGAAACTTCCAAGAAATCGAGCCCGACGAATCTCCTACCGCTCGGTGTCCGTCAAGTCTATCCGTTACGTCAAGTCTATTTAAGAATCATATCTACCATTCTACCTACTTGTATTGGTTTGCATTTTCTGGTTCCATTCTTGCTTGATCGTCAACGAATTCTGCTGTTCGACTCCGATGGACGCGTTCGCTTCTTTTTTCGATCCTCAATCGTCTTCCAGAAGCCGCTGGAATTACGACACTCTCAAGAACTTCCACCAGATTTCTCCTTTCGTCCAGAATCACATTAAACAGGTTTTGTTTTTGCTGTCTAATGTGCTGTTAGGGTTTTCGTTTGTATTTCTGCGTCGTGATTTAGATTGACCTAGGTGAAAATCTGAAATCATCAGTTAGGGTTTCATTTGGATTCATGGATGAATTTTTAAATTTTGGTTTCCGAGTCTTGATTACGGAAGAAACGTGAGTCGGCGAATTTTTTATGTATTAAATGAAGAATTATTTATACTGTATTTAACATATGAATGATTTTTCATGTTATTCCTTAGTAATACCTTTTTCTTGTGATAATATCGGTGATCGAAGAACTTGATGTGGAACCTTGTTTGGGTATTCAACTTATTTTTGCTGAATTAATCTCGCTTACCTCTTAATATTTTGCGTCTGTTATCAATCTTCCTATTTGTCTTTTGACGATAGATTGTCAATTTTTCATTTATATTTCATTCTGAAATTTATTGCAGGTTTATCTTGCCTTATTCTGCGCTGTGGTTGCTGCGGCCGTCGGATCTTACCTGCATGTTCTCTGGAACATCGGCGGTTTGCTGACAACAGTCGCGTCCCTGGGGAGCATTTTCTTGTTACTGTCCATTCCTCCTAATGAAGAGGTATGAATGGCGGGCTCCTGCAACCTTCTACTTATATTATTATGGTTCTGCAATACGCCTGTCACTCACTTTCTATTTCATGATTTGCAGAAAAAGAGGGTTGCTTTGTTGATGGCTTCCTCATTACTTCAGGGGGCCTCCATTGGTCCTTTGATCGATTTGGCTATTGATGTTGATCCAAGGTATTATTAATCCATGTATTCTGCTCTTAAAGCTTTTCCTACTTTGGGCTGCGACATCCTTTCATGTTTGTTCAGCTCATTGTGCGTGCTGACTTCCCTTATATTTGTGTATAGCGGATAAAACCTTTTCTACATTTCTGGTTCTGATTACCGTTATGCAAGCAAAATATTGCAAATGCTTTGCTGACATTTTAATCCTACATTTCTGTCACCCCTGCCTTGGGGTTATACAAGATCATATTCATAATTTAATGACGAAGGTTTTTCGCAAGTCTTTTTGTAAGCCAAAAGATCTTGCTTAATGCACATGTCAGCTCTAACTTTTTTTCTCTTGATCTTTTTGCTTCCCTCTTTCTTTATTTGTCTCCCTAAAGCTGTTCGGCTTTACATTGGCTTCCAGGGTTTGAGTTAGTTTGCATGATCAGTTGCATTCTCTTCTCCCATTGTTCTAGTCTTACCCCAGTGGGGCTCTGTGGTCCTTGAATTTAGGCGATTAGTAAAATTCTTTTATCTCAATTGTTTCAGCCTCATCGTCACGGCCTTTGTGGGAACTTCGTTGGCCTTTGCTTCTTTCTCAGCGGCAGCTTTGGTGGCAAGGCGCAGAGAGTACCTCTATCTTGGTGGTTTGCTTTCTTCTGGATTGTCCATTCTTATGTGGTTGCACTTCGCTTCCTCCATCTTTGGGGGTGCAGCTGCGCTCTTTAAGTTTGAGGTAAAGTTTTCCGATTATTTATGTTTTGGTTGAATTATCCTGGAGCAATCTGAATTCTGAAGCTGTGTTAGCTTTAGTGCTTTACTTCCTGCTGCTAGTTAATCTGACAAGCTTTGGTTCTAAATTTGACATGACTTTATTTGTTAACCTTGCAGCTGTACTTTGGGCTTCTGGTGTTTGTGGGCTACATTATATTTGACACCCAAGAAATAATTGAGAGAGCTCACTTTGGGGATCTGGACTATGTGAAGCATGCCTTGACCCTCTTTACTGATTTTGTTGCAATCTTTGTCCGTATTCTCATAATTGTCGTAAGTTCCACTTCTGTGTTCTTTTCCGTTTTTGACAGGGTTTTCTTCTTCTCCTTGATCCCCTCCTTCTTTTCCCTTGGGATAATTTGTAATGATTTTCTTGCAGCTGAAGAATTCAGCGGAGAAGAATGAGAAGAAGAAAAAGAGGAGGGATTGAACGCCGACGCTTGTGGCTTTGTTGGAAGTAAACCCCCCTTATTGTATTTCTTTTGGAGACACAGACTCAGTTTCAGCTGTCAAAAAATTCTAGCAGCATCTGCAACTTGTAAATTATGTGATTAGGTTTGCAGCTGCGGTGTACTTGTGGAACTTGCCATAATTTCATCAAATCGTTTTGGTTTTCAGCCTTTATAATGACACTAAAGCCTTTATACATCACTCCCTCTCATCTTAAGTATAGGATCTTTTTAAGATAGTTAACAACTTTAGTCTTTTAAAAAAAAAATCGTATGACTTTCTCAATTTTACTTTCTCCTTGTTAAATTGGAAGACAGTTAGGTACGTACATGATGCATCATACAAGGTGCCCTATTAATAAATAACGCAACACCAACTACACAATAATGGGTGGAAAGCGTCCTATGACATCGTTATAATTGGTTCTCTGAGCACGCCGCGTTGCGTTATGCAAATTTGATAATTTTGAGCAGAACCGTGTGAGAAGACTCAATTAAACACTTCCGCTTTTGAGGCGCGAACTGGTTTTTAAATTATAACTAAAGTGTGATGATGAAGTGTTGCTGTGGATCGAACAAATTTTTCCCCCTCACTGATGAAATGCTTCCCATTCCATGCAACAATTCAGTCTTTATACAGGCCCTCCTTGCCTACAAAATGGAGACTGCGTCTTTGAAAGCCAAATCCCCCCGCCCGGGGGGGGGGGGGAGAAGATGATTTATTTTCAATTGGGCTTTTGAAAATTTAAAATTGGATAAAAGTTAGATTCTATAATTATGTTTGGAATGGTTTTTGTCAAAAAGTTAATTTGAAAAAAATAGAGTTGTTTGGATTATTATTAGAAAAGTAAATCTAGTTATAAAATAGCAGAAAATGATGTGAATTTTATTAAATATATTATTTATTTTTTCTCCATTGTCATATTTTCTTTCGTTATATTTACTCATACATTTTTTTATTTTTTATTTATTATAAGGGTATATTTAAAAAAATATTACTATCTAATTTTAACTGATTTTTTGTTATCTACAAATTAATTGTTTAAAACTCATAATAAGAACCGAATATGGTAGTAAATTTCTTAACAGTGGGGCCTATCTTCTTTTCCTTTTTTTAACTTCTTCCATCATGGTTTGGCTCCAAAAAAGTATCCAAACACCCACGTATTGTTGGAACTATGGTTTGGCTAAGAAGCCATGGTGTGGTCCTGTGAAACCATGTTTTAAAAAATTTTTCTTTCTAAAAGGTTGAATGTGTGGGTTTCCCACAAGTATTACAGTATCAAAGTAAAGCCAACGGTGAGTATCCAAAAATATCCTTAAACAAAGGTCAAAAACTCCGCCTTTTCTCCTTCCTCATTCTACTTTTCTTTCTCATTTTCTTTCACTTTCTCGTTACCTTTTTATTTCATTTTTTTTATATTGTAATATGTTGTTAAAAAAACTAGTTGCTCAAATGTTGTATACAGTTGCAACCTCACAATGATTATGATGGTTGATTATTTAATCTCATACCTCACAATGATTATATTTTATAGATATATACATATATTAATTATTAATTAATTATAATTTATATATATTATTTATTATGTTGGTAAAAAAATTATTAACAAATTTATTACTTCAAATAAAAATATAAATTAAAATCTACATTTTATATAATTATCATATTAACTTATGTTTTTTTAATAATTTGTATATGAAAAAAAGTGCTTCTGATAATAATTGTCCAAACACTTTTACTTTGTTAAAATCACTTTTTTCATAAAATCTATTTTTTAAAAATTTATTCTCAAAATAACTTTGTTTTCAAAACCTATTCTCCAAACTGTAGTTTAATTGTATCTAAACACTTTCGAAATTTCTGTTTGCTTTTTATACAAAAGCCAAATTGTCTCCATGGTGAATCCAAACATCACAATTACAGTCCAAAATGTGTTTATAGGCCTAAAAGCGGCTTTTTCCGTATCCAGACAGAGAAAGGAAAAAAAAAAAAAACCCCTTCTTACGTTTCTATTGGTTTAATCCACAAGATGCCCAAAACTAAGGACACACACATATTGCAATTATATTAATTCTACATATTTAAAGTACATGGCTAGAATTAATATTTTCCACCTTTTGCATTCAAGTTAACTATTGCACCTTATCTTTTTTGGTAAACTATAAATTCATGTAATTAATATTCACATTTCCAATCATAAAATTGAATAATTAACATAAGGGAAAACCATATTGAAGGTACCTATACTTTCTCTCAATTTTTAATTTGGTACCTATGTGTTTTTTTTCTTTTAATTAAACATTTAATTTTATCTTTTTAGTAACATTAGCTCTTATAACTTTGTTCTGTTGATATTTTTAGTCTCTACATAAGGATTAATGATGTTAATAGAGGAAAAATAAAGATTTAGTTAAGAACAAAAAACACATAGGTACCAAATTAAAAATTGAGAGAAAGTATAGGTACCTCCAATATGGTTTTCCCTTAACACAAAACATAAAAATGAAAATTATGGTCAATATATTATGAATTATGTCTTAAGTTAATTAAACATTAATTATTTTTATTGAAAGAGAGTTTTTCTATTCCTCCTCAATTTATATGTTGTGCTAAATGGACCCTTAAACTGGGGACTGCGGATTCTTGTATTGGATTTGCACCTTGCAGAAGTGATTTTTGTAGATTTTGAGTGTGGTTTTGAAGGCAAGTGGAAAAATATCGGGCCTGACCCAAAAGTTTTTTTTTTGGTGGAAAAAAATTTAAGTGAGTTGGGTCTCAGAAACTCACCAGAGTCAGGACATATTTTCAGGCTTAAAGAATATTTATAAAGATACTTATAAATGATCTTGTCAGAAGAATTTGATTAATTAGTTGTGGTCTTTGTGTTTGGACCTTGGAGAACGGAAGGACTTCCGTGTTGGCTTGCAACTTCAAAAGTTGTTACATCCACTCCTTTACAACGGAGCACCAAATTATTCCCAACACATGCCACTGCTTCTTTCTATGTATAATAAAATAAAATTTATTTAAATATAAAAATTAAATTAAATCTGGATCGTTAAAATTAAATTATCTTTAGGGCCCTCCCATTTAACAATTATAAATGGGGTACGCTACTTGGGATTGTGAATTAATAATTATGAATATTGAATATTGATTAGTTTGCAGTCGATTTATCAGTTCATTGCTTTATTTATAAGCTCCTGTTGATCTCATATTTTTTTTATCATTTATTATAATGGCATATTTGAAAACAAAAGTATATTTCTATAGGTATATTTGAAAAAAAAAAAAAGTATATTTCTAATTTATTTATTACTTTCAACTAATTTTAATTGATTTTTTGTTATTTACAAATTAATTATTTGAGGCTTAGAGTAAGAACCAAAAGATGTAATAAATTTCTTAACTTTTTCTCTCTCCATGCTAATTTTTACTAATAGCTTATTGTAGCTTTTTATGTAAAAGTTAGATAAGTCCATCGCCAATCCAAACATTACAAATTTTTCAAACATGCTTTTGCTTGGGAAAAAAAAAGTAACTTATCATGTTGCCTTTTCGTTAAAAAAGAGAGGGGAAAGTCTCAAAAAAAATTTAAATTTCAAAATTCCAAATCAGTATTAGTTACTATACTTGTAAAGAAAATAACTACATTAAAAAAGCAAATGATAATATATTTTTGTAATAATTTCTGATCTAGAATTATGAAATTCAACAGTCTTTTTTTGAAATTTTTCTAGAAAAATTTGTCATAATTTTTATTGGTCTCAGACATTGAATTGATTACTCGGGACATGTCACGAATAAGTAAACTTGAGAGATCAGCATCGATCAAGAAATTTACGAAAAATTTGATGACTTAGCATAAAGGATTATTCCCTTACATGTAGCGAGTCAAGGTTGGAATTTTTGTCAAAAAAAAAAATTATTTACATTTAATATCCAATAGTATCTCAAACATACATCTAATAAGAGAATGCATATGTGTTTATTCAGGAAAAAGTTAATTGTTTTTCCATTAAATATAAATATATATAAATAAAATATTATCTCTCGACCTAAAATCATTTATTGCATAAATCCCACTCCTGCAAGTGCAAATAAACTCTTAAAAATTTGCAAAATCCAACCATAAAATTTAAAATACATACACGCACACATTGATTTTCCCCGTATCAAAAGGGAGAGATAGGAAGCGATTGTGACATCTATAATATTCAACAAAAGATTTTAAAAAAAGACTCATATAATTGAAGTTATGAAACATGAAATTATTTTCGACAATTCAGTTGATGCCACTACACATAATTGAAAGCAATAATGAAAGCACACAATTAATCCAACCCTTCTTGTTGTTTTCAAGTGAGACAACATTATAGGGTTAGATATGTGCATGACTCTAGCTTATTTTTGGTCCATATTTTCTGAATTATTTATACACCTAGCTAGCTTATAGCTACTTCACATCTCATTTATTTACATACACCTCATTGTTGGGAAAAAAACCCTTCATTGATCATTATTTACCATTCATTCAAAGAACGGATTTTTTAATCCCCCCTTCTTTGTTTTCATTTGGATCATTGTGAAATTTGGGCAGCTCGAATTTAAAATTTTATAAAATTATTATTAAAAATAAAAAAAATTTTAAAATTTCATTTGGATGGTTTGAAAACCATAGTAAAAAGAATAGTGGGAAAAAAAAATCATTTTATACATTCAAATTTCATCCAACCGTTAATATACGAAATGCGGAGAGATCATTTGCACAATCTCATGTGATTAATTAAGACTAAATTATAGTTGGCAAAAAAAATTAAGACTAAATTATAGAAAACATTCTTAAACTTTATGTCATGGTAAACAACCTCCCTAACATTTGAAACTAATTTACAATCCTTACACTTTAGTATTTATGCATGCAACTCTGATGCAATTAATTTTAGTCATTATTTATCTGCAAATCGCTTAAAATTTAAGATACTTATTTACATACAACTCAAAAGTTTGAAGGGATTATATACATAAAAAGGTTTAAGAGAATATAAAATTAATAGTTTGAGATTATATATTTACATGAAACTAAAATTTTAGGATGATTTATTATTAAATATTAGATGTTAAGAAAATAATTTGCATATGGTTTTATGTAATGTTTGCGTAAGTTTTGTGCAATTTAGTCATTAAATTAATAC